TTTTWAKSMWAYAAACTTACGATTTTAAGCTCCAGGCGTTCCTTGCGTCTTTTCATGGTCACGTGATCTGATATGTTCATCAAAGCGGGTACATTCTGCATGGAAATTTTTATAACCATTATTGCTGAATATGATACCCCAATAAAATAAATACTTAGGTATTTGGCGTCAATCTGACGAAACTGTGTTGTGTAGAGATTAGGATTCGAACCCTCGTCGGTAGGTTTGCATTAATATTCATGTAACCAGACGTCAAAACGCTAAATCACCGCATGGATTTACATTAGGCACGGGAGATTTCTGTTGTCGTCGYTATCGAAGTAAACGGATCGTTGCCTATGAATGCACATTAATTAAACAGTGGTGTTCATTCGTGGATAAAATCCATCCAATAACTTATYTAATGGAAAACCCTCATCTGYTGYATGGTGACCACRCTCTTTCAATGGGACCCAGATGGGTATTCGCGCTAATATGTGCTCAAATGAGACAACTTGTGGAGGARAACGATAAGGACAGAGAACTATGAATGTTTTTGTTACCTTTGAACCTTTAGCCATTCCTTTRTTCATATTTTCAGCTTTCATGATGGCTTTTGTGTCTTTACCCTCCTTGGCGGCCTTGTTTAGTGGCTTCTTGTCTGGGATTTGTTTGCCCCATAATTGAATCACAACCGACTTCTTCATCAAGTAATCTACAAACTGCAAAGAAAGAGCAGTGTTTGCGCAAAATTACTTCGATTCGGGGGTTAAAGATAAATTGTTACCCATGGATAACAATCAATCTTAGAAAAAAATTTTCTTTTCATATTTCTTTCATTATTATTAATCATTTTATTGTCGTGGATTGACGAGTCGTATTGTGGGAAATAATTGATATTTGTTTCCTGATTTTGCTTCATATCTAAAAAGACTGCACTGAATCACGTCAAAGTTACTGTACCTGCTCATTGACTGGATCAAAGTGGAACTTTCTTTCGTAGTTGAAATCTGGATTTGATGTCCCTGATACTTTCTCTGTTTTAGGATCCTCGTCTAAGAATAACTTGTAACTGCAGTAGACGTCCTGCATATGGAAATGATAATTAATCTAAACACAGAAGGCCCAAAAAGGCCACTATCCAACGGTATGGTGCCTCACCGTGTATTTCTTCGGAAGTCCCCTCGCGCTGGTAATACGAACTACGAAGTCTAACTTCTCTCCAATCTGAAAGCAAGTACAAATGGATTAGAAATATCGTTGAGTGATGGTATTAACTGCGTCAAATCATCACTTCATTCACATTAGAGGCGCGCTCTGATTGGACTTGTCTTAATTTAGCCATGCGCACAGAGGAACTAACCAGATCACGTGGGTTGTCTATAAATAGATCTGTGTCCTCGGTGATCTCCTTTCCTTTGCTGTCCAAAGGCACAACTTCAACCTATGACGGTTAAACAAGTTATGGTTATTATTCAGAAAAAAAATAAAAATTGGGAAAACCGGTGAGCGAAATTCCATTAGAATTCAAGAAAATTTATCACTTACATTTAAATAACCGACTTCTTTTCCACGGAAATCAGTTATGTTCAGTTGCTCTCTCATGTCCAGCTAAAATTCAAAATAGCAGGAGTTATAAAAGAGAAACAGAGTGACCCTCTTTTATAATTCATGTTAATTAGATAACTGCAAAAAGGAACTGAAAACTAACAGGATCATTTTCAATTCTGTTTCGATGGCTGATGACCGCACTTTCATTGAAATTAGCTTCATTACCTAGGAACTATTTCTAGAATTTAATTGACCTTTAATTCCAAAATATGGTATACTAACCACGTATCCAAGGCTCTCCATGGATACTTCCACACATCCAATCATGAARTCGACATCCGGGGATTCTGTAAATGGATCCCGTTCATCCGGAAGTGCCCAGTCTTCTCCCTCCTCGTAGTTACTATACATCTCTTGCATCAAGTACTTCCGGTTGATGAACTTYTTCTTCGGCCAAAGCCATTCGAGGCCATTCTCCAGGTTACGCATCAAAACATAAGGCTGAAAGGYTTACCATAGAAACAATCGTTAGTTGTCAGGGTAACGGATGACGTCGTCAGAAACACGAGTTACTATGGATACCTCTGATTTGCCCTCACTGAGACCACGTGCTTTGGCTGTCATGACAACCACTTCAAATGACACCTTAATGAAGAAAACGAGGATAAATAAAGGATAATAATAAATGATTATAAGATCGTGGTTCAGCATACCTTCCTGTCAAGTTCCATACTAATGGCGTTRGCCTCCTCCACCATTGGAACCAAGTCTACTAAATCTTCCTGTAGCAACATGGCATCTATATCCAAACATGTACAATTTACTGATTATTCTAATAGAACGGAGGGTTAATTTGGGAGGGGGAAGAGATACACATCGTTCTGTAGAAACAACCAGACATCATAAAGTACTTTATTGGTGAACAAGTAAAAAGGGCGTGGACGTGGATTTTTGGAGAGGGAGAATATATGATGGCGCAGTGGTATGAAATAGTGGAAGTTTGGCTTGAACAACGCCCGATTGAAAATGGCCAGGCTGGTAATTTTCCCATGTTTTGGTGGGCAACAATGTAATCGCCAATGCATGGAGAGAATATTCCGATGTTACAGTAGAAATTTTGCGAGTACTTCATATAAGTGACATGGCTTGGAACTCCTGAAACACACACTATTATAACGCATTGTGATTGCTAAATTCGACCGACCAGCGAGCTGGATATCAGCAATGCCGAATGTCACAATTAACGGTAGTTCGGACTGTCAATGGCCGATACTGCAAACTCTGAAAAATTCAGTCCCAAGGTTGTCTGTAATGTCCGTAATAGTGCGTGTGTCCTTATTACTAATGTTTGAATCAATGCATATTGCACCTTTATTGCTGCCCTCCTCCATGTCGAAGCCTGAATTCTGAGCGATTTCTTCTTGTGCCATTTCATAATTTATGGATTCAGCTTTGATGGTTGATTTATCTGCTTGTTTTGGATGGTGGAAAACGTACAGATGACTWGAYCCAAACATGACCCTGTAATGACATGAAARTAGATTCAAATTWTTTGTACTTGTTGGTCGATATAGTGGTACGTTAATCCGTCGGTTGGACGGTTGGTTAGTACGTTGCTCGTTTAGTAGGGTGCTAGTTCGATGTCTGGTTGGTTGGTTATTATTGTCAAGGTGGCTTGATGGTTGTTTCGATTTGTTGTTGATTGTCTTTTAGTAAATCAACTTTTTCGTTYATTTGGCTTGTTTCGTTTGTTAATTTTGGTAAATTGGCAGTTTAGTTGGCTGAGTAGTAAGCTTTGTACTAAACTTGTAAGTTGTTGAGTTTTTATTGGTCGGTTGGTCTGTTGGTTAGTTCTAAGTTAAATGGGAATGGAGCTCCAACTGTGKGACAAAAACACAATAATCTTTCGTTTTGCAACTCAGATCAAGCTGCTTTGACGTCACATGCAAGTTGTCAATGGGTGTTACTGACTTGCGTGACAGTACCTGTCGTGATGTTCCAGTTCTTCCTCTTCAGTGATTGGTTCACCGTTGATTAATAGTTTTGCGTCACCGATAGGAGTGATTGTGATTTTGTCGCCTGCGATAGTGACTTCACAGTGTTCCTTTTGGACGCTAATTCAAAACAAGAAAAAATATTTTTTAGAAGGATTGGATAGATATAGTGAGATATGGGTTTGAATTATCGTAACTGCCAACATTTAAAAAACCATCGTCTGGAAGCTAGGCGTGCATGTCGCTCGTCTATAGAGCGAGGAACGGGCGACAAAGAACTTCCAAATAACGTCTATCTTTTTTCACACCCTTCCCATCAAAATGCATAATTCGAAAAAATGCTGATGACTTCGTATTTTACATGCTACTACTCACTTCAAACCTGCAAGCTGGATGTCAGCCGGCGGATCGGCCTTCTTGTTACCAATTTTCACTTTGTCTAATAGAAATCATAGAGACAAATATTTTAGTGTCATGTTTTGTGACGATTGGTCATTATCTATGCCTACATTTTACCTTTCTTTAATAGGTGAACTATCATGCCAGTTAACTGAGAATCTGGATTCAAATTCCAGAAATGTGGAGTTTCCATTCGTTCTTTCTTCTGTGCCTCTTTATCCTGAGATTTGAATTGTACAATGATTAGTAAAGGAAAGAACTTACACGAGTGTTTTTTCAAAGGGTATAAAACTTGCATGACCTGGACCGAGCACAAGTAAGTGCGAATATGCAACGAGAACTAGACTCACCGTTGACGCCTGGTCCGTTTCAGCAAGTTTCTCCTCCCAGGTCTTGTTCATATCMGCAACAGCTTTTTCTGTGTCTGCCATCTAAAAAGAAAAATAACCATTTTTATCGATCATGCTACGTTTATATCCAACACTAGCAAGTCGGTATTTCTTGGATATGGCTCTTTGTTCATATGAGGAACTATCAAAACTATATTGGAGACGCAACAAATTTTCCTCTCTGAAAAGGACTACAAATTGAGTGAAAACATGATCCAGCCATCTTGATTTATGGCAGCTATAACGGATCAGACTGTTA